TACAGACCCTTCGATGGAATCCCCGCCGAAGGCCCTAACAACACTGAACAGTATTTTATTTTTCTCTTCAATTTCATCCAGCAGTGTCGTCACAAGGCCGGCCCAGGTGTGGTCACACCCAACGTACTCCCAGGCGTCGAAGCTGATGAAGATGTATCGGACTCTCTCGGACGATAGGGAATCGAAGACGGGGAGATAAAAAATGACGCGCCAGACGAGGGAGAGCAGAGAAGTCCCACTTCCTCCGCCACCTTTGCCATCCTTTCTTTCTTCACTTCTCCTGGTCAAGGCACCTGCGAACAGAAAACACAGATTCAAACACAGCGCGTATGGGAAGGGGCGTTACGACCCCGGCAGATGACCTGCCAATCTTTCCCTGCAGAACGAAATGGATTCTACGGTCGGGCAAGATTTTTTTCATCACCTGCGTTCAGTGAGGACTTGGAACCCAAGCCGTGTTTCCCTTTGTCTGCGTTTTGTCTGTTGGAAAGGCCTGTCCTTCCTCACAAAGCACACTTCTCTGTCACTGGGCACTCTTTGGTTCATGGGAAGAGACTGGCCTGGCATGACTGGAAGCGACGGGCATGGGAGGCACATGCTCCACGGCCCCCGCCTCTCGAAACGGAAGAGAGCTCAGCACAGGTGAAAGCACGGCTTAGGATCTGAGTCCGTGCCTTTGTTCAAATTATCATGAATTGTAATAAGCAGGGGTGATTCCCTGCCGGAGCGCACAGGAGCAGAGCTCCAGCAGTAAAGAGCCCAGGAGGCGGGCACATGCAACAAGCCCCACCCCCTGCTCCCAGCAGCCCTCAGTCAGAGCAAGAAGCAGCCGGGTAAGCTCCAGAGCCCCCCCCGGCCCCCTGGTCCAAAACAGTCCAGTGGCACCTTTAAGACCAAGTTTTATTCAGGTACAAGCTCTCCCTCCTCTGCGAGGGCAGATCTGCATGTTCCTCCCCCCCCCCATAGCTAGCAATCCAAAAGAGTCCAGTGGAGCCTGAGCAGTTGGTGTTGCCTTCTGACACACGTCCGGTGATGTCAGGGGGTGTGGCCTATGCAGATAAGTTGTGCTAATGAGTTATGCTAATGAGCTCCTGCGCCTCTCTTTCTACGAAATGACCCCTGGTAAAAAGTGAACGATTTGGACCAACAGTGAGAAAGTTGATGTTTGTTATTGAGGTAGGACTGGGCCTGTGGACGGACCATCAAAGTGGGCACACTAAAAAAAAAAGCCCCTTAATACAAATGATCTGATGTAGTTATTTAACATATTAAATAGTCTTAATTAAATGAAATTTGAATCAAGCAAGCATTTTGTGCTGGTCAGTCAATCCCTTTGCACATTGGAAGGCGGGCAAAAGTTGTGTGATGTTAAAGAATGGATGGTTAGAAGGATGCAAAATGTGGATTATAACATCGATCTGTCACAGTGGAGTAAAATATGGAAAGTTAATATTAAGTTGACTAAATCTGTTTCATTTAAAGAAAACTTATATAAAATGTTCTATAGATGGCATCTGGCACCAGATAGTTTAGCTAAAATGCATTAAAACTTGAGTAATATGTGTTGGAAATGTAACAACTATATTGGGTCATACTACCATATGTGGTGGACATGTAAAAAGGTTAATAAATTCTGGATTGAAGTGCATACTTTCTTAGTCAATCCTGAATATCACAATACCTTTTAAGCCAGAGATATTTTTGTTAAACTGTTTACCAGATGAGTTAGATAAGAATAATAGATATTTTTATTTTATATGTCAGTCAGTCAGTTTTTATTCGGTGCATAACCAGCACAATTCAGTTAAAACAGTTTAAAATCTCTAGGGTTCATTCATAAAACATTTATAAACCAATCTGCACTCATATCATTACATACGGGGTTGCATCGATTTCCTCGCAGTGGATCACACTTATTTTTTATTTATAAATATATATATATATATTTATAAATATATATAAATATTTATAAGATGTTATTTATATTTATAAGATGGTATATAACTGCTGAAAAATTACCTAAATTTGATCCAAAATGCTCAGATAAATGTTGGAAATGTGAAAACAAAACAGGGTCCTTTCATCATAAGTGGTGGCGATGTGAGAAAGCTAAGAGTATTGGGCCTGGATACATGAAATTTTGCAGAATATACTGAATTGTCATATACTCTTTACCCCGGAAATATTACTTTTGAATATTTTACCAGAAAATTGTAAAAGAGACTATTCTTATCTCATACTATATTTAACTACTTCTGCTAGAATTTTGTATGCAAAATACTGGAGAAGCCTAGAAATGCCAAGTAAAGAAGAATTTATCAATAAAACACTAGAAGCAGCGGAAATGGACAAACTCACTTTATTCTTAAAAGACCACCCAGAAAAGACCTTTGAAAATACATGGGCAAGATTTTACTTATGGTATGAGAACTATATATTAAGCAAGACATGACAAGGTCTGAAGAAATAAAATTCAGAAGAGGTTATAGGCTATATTAAGAATTATACGTGTATAATTTGTTTGCAGAAATTGTTTATAAAACTTCTAAGGTTTTAAGATGATAATGACATACACATGGCACCTGAATTTGTACTGATCTACAATGTACCCCCATTGTTCTATGTTTATATGTTTTTATGTTTTCGTATTTGTTTTATGTTTCTTTTGTAATATGTATGTTTGTTCGTTTTTTCATTTCTATGTGTTATGGAAAATAAACAAAATTATTATTTATTTTTTTAAAAAAGAGAAGACAATGTTGAATCAGGCCAGTGGTCCATATAGTCCAACACTCTGTGTCACACAGTGGCCAAAAATACCAGGTCACACACGACCCAATCAGTTAAACAAGTATAAAGCCAACAGTCGTGATAGTCTGACCCACAATCAAACAGTCATAAGACTTATAAAGAATGCTGCTTGTTGGAAAAATCCAATCCTCCCACATTGGGACTCTGGTATCAAAAGTTGTGGGACCAATTCCTTATGGACTCTGTTACCAACAAACTCAATAGACTAACCCAAAAACCCATAGAAAAACCTGCAATGGAAAAATGGAAAAATGGGATCCTATATTGGAATTCTTAGCAACAGAAGATTTCTTACCCTCCTCTTGGCAGCAATTTAGGAATTGGATGTGAACCCTCTCCTGACATTGGCAGCAAAAATAAAACCGATTCGCTAGATGTACATATATTGGATATTTATCAAACAATGGAAGTTAGTTATCACCCACATAACAAAATTTTTATGATCTTTGTACTAATTCTTTGATTTCAGAGTGGAAAGTATATTCTTCTATTTTTGAAACAATTAATTGTACTTCTTCTGACTTTTGATGTTACCTACTTTGATATAAGCTTAAGATTGCCATTATTTTGAACTTTTATGTATCCTTTCTGACAGACACTGCTCTTTTTCAAGAACAGCTCTTATCAGAACTACGACTTGCCCAAGGTCACCCAGCAGCTGCAAGTGGAGGAGTGGGGAATCAAACCCGGTTCTCCCAGATTAGAGTCCGCGCACTTAACCACGACACCAAACTCACAATGCCAGGATCAGACCTACACCAATAATAACCCAAATGGGAAACAGAATCAAAATGCTCCCCTGGCATTGTCAGATGATTCTGATGAGGAATGACCATGCTTACCTTTGACTTTGTCTAAGAGGCTTCTCTTGTTTCGCCCCCATGGGGCATAAAATCCCACCGTCACGGGTAGCGCAACATGATGTAGAGTTTCCGCCAAGGCTTCGCAATAAATGTCTTCGTTGGTGTTGTGGTCTTCTGTAGCACAAAATAGAACAGAATTTTGAGGAGGAGGAGAAGTAGTATTGAATATAAGATGCTCACGAACTAGGTGGGTGAGTCTGGAGACGACAGCGGAAGAGGCATGATTGGTTCTTCAAGGAGTTTTTTTTAGTGCTGAATATAGATGAATGGGGACCTGATTCAGATTCAGGCAGCAGAGCGAAGGAGGGGGGGGGATGTTGTGGAGACATAAGGCACATCAGGGAGGTCCTGGTATTGTGACAGCCACTTGTTTCCCCAGGGAAGAGAGCCATAAAATGCACCAAGAGGTCAGGGAGAGCAGAGATGTATTTCCCCAGAGAGATCAACATCTATATATCTAATTCCCAACTTGCCCCCGGAGTGCGGATCGCTAAATTAGCGCTCCAGGGGCAGCTGGGGGGGCGGGGGAGGTTTGTGCACATGTGGGCCAGTCCCCACATGTGCACAAAAATAAAAAAAGTTGAAAAAAAATTTCGGGGGGATGTTTAAATCCCCCCGAAAGTGCAAGAGCGTCTCCTGCGCGTGCGCAGGAGATGCTCTGCGACCTACCGGGCTTGCGTGCGGGGGAAGGGAGACAGGCAGGCAGGGCAGGCCAGGCAGGCAGGGCGGGCGGGAGGTTGTGGGGGGGATGTTTAAACCCCCCCGAAAGTGCAAGAGCGTCTCCTGCGCGTGCGCAGGAGATGCTCTGCGACCTACCGGGCTTGCGTGCGGGGGAAGGGAGGCAGGCAGGCAGGGCG